AAATAATATACACCTTTAGCAATCAGGAAACCGAAAAGGATGATCATACCAATTGATAAATTGAACTTGTAAAAATAAGTATAAAATGTAATTTTTTTTATTGAATTATTTTTCTTTTAAAATTCAATTTATATAATTCATAATCAAAAAAATTAAGTATATACTAAAAAAGGGAGTACTGTAATATATTGGTATGCAGGCAACACTGCTCTGCACCTAACCTAAATTGTAACTTAGTAACAAAAATAAATAATCTGTGGTCAGTCGTTACGATCAAAGAAAAGCATGTGCCCCTTTTCTTTCTATATAAGTAAATGTCCATAATATAAAAAGGTAATAATAATATACTTTTATAAGATATATTACAAAATGCTAATAATTTTAAGATAAATTAGTTTAAGAACATAGATATTAAAACCTAGTGTTTACTTTATACTGCTGTAATAGGTTATATTAAGTAATTAAATTCTATTATTATTTCAAATGTTATAAATAATACATTTTAGTTTGAAGGCTCTTTATTCCTACTAATAATGCAGAACAAGTATTCTTTGGAATATAAAATTCATCTTTTATTTTTTTGACATTAACTATTTTCAAATAAACATAAGTTATCTCATCAGTAATAATAGCCATTCTGTCATCATTTTCTTTTCCTCATTTGGTTTTAAGTTTATGTATTTTTTTTTTTTTTGAGTGCTCATCGTACTTGGCCTATGATTATTATCAAGTAGATAATTAGCTATTGCATTCCAAGTGAAATTTAACAAATACGGATTAAACTATCTATAGTTTCATAAGCAGTGATATTATGTTCTGTACCAAAAGGTTTGCCAGTTATAATAAAAGGTTTTCTCGTATTTCCTGTTATTAATCTATTTATTATTAATTGAAGAACTTTATTAGCCTTGAATTTATCAACTAAAAATGTTTTAAAACCTCTCTACTTAAAAAGCTTTCTATTGAATACAACTATTTGTAAATGTTTACTTTAATGCATTTCAAAATAGAAACTTTTATGTTTTTACATAACTTTGTATTAATTCCAGGCATTTTCAATAGCTTTAAGTAATTGTTGAATCCAGTTCCAATAAAAACTCATCCTGTCATTTTGTTGACATATGCTGTCAATATTTTTATAAAGTTAATCCATTTTGTCTTTGGAAATAAGTAATTGCTATTTAAATTTAGAATTATGAGCTCCAACTCATCAATATGTTTTTGTGTAGTTTGCTGTTGCCCCATATTAGTTTTAAAAGCTGTATCTACTTCAGAAACATTTTTTTCATATAAAACCTTTACTTTTATATTATTCTAAAATATTAGTATTTCCTTTTAGATATTCAACTTCAATGTGATTTTTTCTAAATCATTTCTGCTACTGATTAATTATCTAATGATAGAAACAGATTTTCTGACAGATTGCTTTATGGAAACAATTTTATTTTCTTAAATTTTTTTTTAAATTGTATAAATAACTTTTTTTATGTTCAATTTTTTGTATTTACATTTGACAATGTTTTTCTAACGGAATTAATTGATTTGAATGTAATTATGATTGCACTTACTAAAATATATTGTAATTTTCAGTTCTGGTTGATATTATGAAAATGTCTAAATTTGCCACAATGTAATTATATAATACTTATAACAAGCAAAAATTATTTAAATTATTTTCTTATATTTATTTTAAAATGAAAAAAACATCAGTATCTATTTGCCATTGTTTTTAGATTAAAAATATAACAATATATTTTATAGTATTTATAATTTATTTATTAATTTATAATGTAGACTAATAATTTGTTTACATTTATTGTGAATTGTGATCAAGTTTTAGTTATAAATAATTTTATTATTTAGATTATTTCAATTCACATTAATGAATATTAAATTATTCAATTTGATCAATAATTTATTTGGAAATAATTGCTCATTAAATATCTAAATTAAATAATATATTGATATCCGTCAATTAACTTTAAAATGCATATTAACTTTTCAACATATAAGTTCTTAAAATTGTGATAAATTTCTACCTAAATAATTGTTTATTCTAAAACAAATATGTAGAAGTATATTTGTATTAGTCCTGTGCTTACCAATATCTAAGACAAATAATTGATAGGTCATTAGAGTATGCAAAATAAAATTATAAGTTTAATTGTATCTTAGTCTAAATTTAGCTGATCTTGTTAAACAAACACATGAACTTATCGGGGCCCTTGTTCTAAAGTACCTTCTAGATTCTAGAAGCTAAAAAAATGTTTTTATGAATTACAATATGTTATAAAAACTATGATTAAACATTCCAAGGTCATGTCTACCCATTGTTCTATTTGTCTCTACAGTCAATGATAGTCAATAAGTTAATACTTGCTTAATTTTATTTTGTACAAAAATAATTAAAAATATTATAGGGCCAAAAGAATTATAACACTTTTATGCTCACAGTTTTTGTCACAATTTGTTATTGCTGTCTCCTCTGGGGATCAATCTTTATGAAACAAGAAAAATACACAATCATTAATAGGTACCTAAAAGGTGCTTAGAACTATGTTTGGTGTTTCTAGATGCTGTTTTTATGTAATTAACTATTATTAATTTTTGATCTACCTATACAATAAAAAGAGATGACGAAAAATTTAAATAACAAATGTTAAAACTTAAAATGTTATCATAATATTTTATTCAATTTTATAATTGTACATCATTATTTTAGTTTTTATACCAAAAAAAAGTAAAACTGAAAAAAGCTTTGAATTGAAAGATTTAAGTAAAGCAAAAATTGCAACAAATTGAATAAGTGTCGATTGCTAGCCATATAAAAAATCAAATTAAAAAATGGAATTTCCTCTAAATATTGCTACTTATAATTAATAAATAATAATTATTTATTAATGAATATTCCATAACATAAAATATTGTACATTTCTGCACCCCTTTTACCAGTCAGCAAGATTTGGTATATTGATAATATTTGTTAGAGCATATTATATGGAACAAAATACTGAGGATAAACAAGAATTACGGTTGAAAAAAAAAATGTATTGTTTCCATAATTGTTATTTATAATATTTATGCTGTCCAATCAATGTATACAAATTGGTAGTTCTACTAGTTCTTCTATTACAAGTACACTAAATTTACTACCGAATTATAAAAACAATTTCGATTAGCATTACACTATCACATTAGTAAAGTTCCTTTCATCAAAAATTCTAGTTAGCCTACATTCCCAAATACTAACATTTATCTGAATCTTGATGAGTTACTTTGAACCTATACTCTTATATACTTGACTTAATATTGATTAAACTTGATAAAATATGAAATGATGGTACCCATAGTCTTCAATGTACAGTGATGTTCAAAACAAAAAGAAGCATTATTTTTATTGAGTCCATGCAGTCAGTTGGTCGTTTGAAATCTTTATAAATCATGAAATATGTAAATTAATTGGAAAAGTTTATTTTGCATATTTGAGAATATTTCAAGATAAAAAAATATTTCGTATAATATAAAGACATTAGAGAAAATATTGATTAATTTGCATAGATGTTTGATATTTTGAGGAAAAAGGAACCATTGTTGAACAATTCGATGGCAGAGTATCATCAACATCATCACTAGGTATAAAATAAAAAATAATTTTCAGTCTGCAATATAGAAGTAATAATAAATACTATCAATACATTAAAAAAAAATGTTTAATAATGTTAATAATAAACATAAAAAAAGTTAAATCTTTTAAATTCATGTAATATATAACAATTTTATTATGAATACATCTTAACAATCAGTAGGGTAGAGCAGAGTTCACAAAAATTGCTGGACACATATAAAATTGTGCTATTGGCTATCAAAATTCAATTTAACAACATGTGAACATTTATGTGTACAAAAAATTTATAATGATATTCAAGGAACCGAAGAAAATTTCATAAAATAAATTTAAAAAAAAAGTTTCTACAAATTTCTATGAATTATATAGTATTTTAATTTTTAATAACAACTTTTTAGCTATATAAAACAATGTAAGGTGTAATAATTGTAAATAGTGATTAAGACATTTTAACTAATGGTCCCTGCTGCCAGAATATAAATATTTGAAACATAAAATAAAAACATGAATTCTGACATAAAAAAAGTATATGACCGTACAAAAATATTTAAATTTCAGATGAGGTACTCAAACTATTTTCATAGATTATTTCCAGGAATAATTTATACCTATCCAATAAGTCCACTACTGATATAAAAACTTATTTGATTGATTTATAATGGTTTTGAAGTTAGATACCGTTTCGGATTAAATTAATCATTATTTAAAAAAAAAATCGATGGCGGGGGGGGGGGGGGTAGAAGGGTTCAACCCCCCTCCCCCATGGCAACAGCCATGGGTGTGCACCTTTTCTAACAAAGGGATTTCAAATTTCGGTACGGCAGTTGGTTGGAGACCTATGACGGATGGCGTTCCTGTGTAGGTTGTCCCGAGGCCACACCGAGGATTTACAATGTACAGTGTTTTTATTGCGTTATAGTCGAGAATAAAACTAATCATTATAATATTAACATTCCAGTTGTGTACTTTTTGGTGATGGTTAAACAATCGCTGTTCATTATAATTTTAAGAAGGTAAAATAATTAACAGACATAAGCGAATATTGTAAATTTTATTTCATTATTATTGATTTCCTGTTTTTTTTTCCAATACCTATTTATTATAAATTTAAAATATCACTTGTGCTTATTGTAAAATAATAACTACAGATTGTACAAATACTAAATCTGAATAAAAAAAACGAAGAAGATTGGAGAATGGGTTCTAAAATGCATTATTACCCGGTTTCGTTACCTCCACTTATAACCTCCACAAGTTTACGACATTTTAGTCTTCAATTGTGGTACGCGTGCCAACTACGCAGTAAAATTAGTGGTTGCCTCCTTATCAGAAATTGATAAGTGATAAATACTCCTTAGCGTCGCCGCGCCTCATTGTTTGTTGTTCAATGTTCACACACCATCAGTGTTTACTGGCAGTTCATATTATATTATACATTTTTGGTTTTTGGAATAGGATTGAAAATAATAAGAGTTAATTTACCTATTGTGAATTAATTTAACAAATATTATTATTTAGTTAATACCTAACCGTGTACACTTACGATTATGCCGCGGCAAAATGCGTCTCCACGAGTCAGTCGTCGTAATAAAAGAAAACTGCACATTGACTATTTGAATGAAACATCATTAGAGCGTGATGTAGATTTGTGTGAAGATTTATCTATCGACGTGACTAATGATTCCCAAACATCGTTGGAAGGTCACAGAGACCTGTTTGGTGAGCTGATACCTGAAGAGTGTGTTAGTGACAAAGTGGTTCAAAACAAATCAATAAGGAAGACACCAGGCTCAAAAAAAAAGAAATTACCTCATGAAGAATTATTATTTGACACTCCACCAAGACCCAACTCCTTGATGGATGCCAGTGCGAGGTCAAGTAATGTTTCAATTGCATCAACCGACAGCCTCAATGTAAGCGGGGTTGAACGCTTACAAGACAGCCCCGTAACAACCGGAAAAAACGAGTCTAAAATACATATCAAAGAAGAAGATAATGAACAGAAATCGTCTAAAGTTCTTGAAGGTAAATTGAAATGTTTCATTAGGCTTAAGTATTTTTTTTATACTTTATTCACAGAATTTATACTAATTAAAAAGCAAATTATATTGCTGTCAGGGATGGGTGGTGCGGTGACAGCAAGTCGCTATGTTTTATTATAATAAGGCAATAGGTACCTACCTAGATATAACGGATACTTTAAAATCTGAAACCAGACCAGTTATTAACACAAAATTACTCTTATATTAATTTACTACTTTTATTCTTTGTTTCTAGTTAGAAGTATATTCAAAATTCATTAAATTTGTTTGACACTTGTAAGCAATATTAATATTTTCATGAATCATGATGGATATATTACTGTAATTACATATTTATGCTGTTTTTGTTTTAAAATCTGGTGGATTCACACACTGCTTAGAAGTGTTGAATAACACAATCAATGCTGGAACTACCATGTGCTGTCTAATGTCTATTAGTATTAAGTCTATGTATTTATTATAAAACAAATTCTTGTCAGATTAATTTAGTACAACAGTTAACAGTTACAGAGTATTAGGGTAAATCTCAGAACTATAGGAATGTCAAAATACAATATTTAATACAGGTTCATAATTTTGATGAATTGGAACCCTTTATTTAACAACTTGTGTTATTCTATATTATGTCAAGCTTTTTATATATTTTTTCAGTACTAAATAGGTAGGTCTGGATCAATCGTTTAATACTTATAAGATTTTCTCGAGAATTTTTTACATTAAATATTTTTTTATATAAATAAAAAAATTAAAACCAACAAACTTCTGTGTTGGTATATTTTATTTATTTATAAATAACGATTAAAATTAAAATAACAGTGCATGTTTTTTTCTCTTTGACCCACGCACAACATAGCAAATTTTACATTCACAATAATGATTAATATTGATAATAATAATAATCTCGTCTGTGGGTCAAAAGGAGAAAAAATGCACTGACATCCTCTTAACTACATAAATTCAGTTATGGATTAGTAAACCCCTACTAGCTTACGTTAAAAACACAGTTACGTACCCACCTAAAATTTTATAGTGAATAAAAATATAATAATAGAAGTAAATTTTATATTATAAATTGATTTATCGTACTTTTGCTGTTGCAACATTATGTATAAAATCATCCAGATCCAAATAATGTAGCCCAATTCCTTCTCATTTGAAATTATTGCAAGACCTACTAAGCAATAATGTGACATTTTTGCTCGTGCATAGTTTTAAATGTTGAGAAACTTCTTTCTGGTGTGGCAGCCATCACTGGAAGTGTTAAAAGAATTCATATAACTAATAAAGTGTTGGGAAAGATTTAAAATAACCGAATTTTGCAAATGTATTCCAAAACAAATTGAAGATTAATTTTTTTTAGTGTTGAATTGTTGAAAAGCTGTGTAATCCATTGTCTGATGCATGTGCAAGTTGTAAATATTTATAATTAACCATGAGTTCATCTGTATCTTGTATATTGGAAATGTTATAAATCAATGAAATCAAGTTTGCATGGTCAAACAGTTTTACAAATTATTTGTTAGTTGATAGTTCAGTTCTATATAAAATTGCATAGAAAAATTTAGCTCTTCCCAATCGTTTTTAATATATATATATATTACATAAATAATACTGTATATCTATATACTGTTTTTTTTCCAAAAATAAATAGAGATTTTTTTTGCCTTTAATATTCACAATTAGTTAGGATTTTAACACACAAGGTAGGTACTTATTATTTTTATAAATGTTTATGATTTAGGAGTTATTGGATTCGTTGATTATAAAATCGACAGTGAACACAATAAAAAATACGTTAGTCGATTTCTTACTGATTTGGGTGCTAAAGTCGCAAAAACATTCAATCGAAAAGTAAATATTTAGCTGAGTTATTTATTCTAAAACAATTTTTTTTAATTTTTTAAAATTTTTTTTTTAGGTTACCCATGTAATATTTTGTGATGGCAGCCGTAGCACGTATAAAAAAGCAGTTGAGCGTGACATTCCACTAGTTTCAGCAATGTGGATACACTACAGCAAATTATCTAATAAGATTCAGGATCCAGCTGACTATCCTCCTGTAGGTATGGATAAATACACTACAACGCCATCAAGGAAAATTATTATTCCAGTAAGTAATTTTCAGTGATTAGTTTATGTACCTATTTAATTTTTAATTTTACTTCAATACTTTGTGTCAACATTTTTAGTAATTTATATTGCATGTAATATATTTATATGCAATGTTTATACATTGTA